TGAGCTGTAAGCAGAGGCCTAGAGTAGGAAAGAACCAAGGGGAAGAATGCATCACTTGTTCCACCTGCTCTTCTTGTAAGCAATTGAGCTGCAGTGAAGAAGAGTGACAAATTATTTCTTTATAAGAATCTACAAGGCCGAGGTCTGCGAGGTTACAACATTATGAAGATGTGACCCTTGCTAAGGCAAGCTTGGCATCTTTTGACTTGTGGTGTGTCAGAAATGTTCAGGAGCCCGCCTAGCACCTGGAGCAAAGATGCAGAATTCAAAACATTGTTCTTCTGTAGCCTTGGTGAAAGTGAGGGGTAATCTGAAATGTATCCAGCTGCGGTGTGTAGTGAAGCTTAAAAATGCATCTGGTGAAGGTTTACAGCTGAGCCTCTGTAAAGTAAGGAGTGTTACCGACTACTGCTCTTTAATTAAAGTAGACTTTAAATCCTTAGAGGTTGAGCTGTGTCCTTCTCGTGCACATGTCTTTGCACAGCACAGCAGATTTTAATTTTTGAAGGGATGCATTCCTGAAGAAATCAAATGCCGCAAGCCTTAAGTTACACTTGTAGAGCAGTTTCCAAAGAACATGTTGAAGGCTTCCTCCTCCAGAATTGAGGCAACTGTATGAATTCTAGGTTCTGTTGTTTGTGCTTCTGTCTTAGTAAAGAAGAAAAGCCTAAAAAAAAAAAAAAAAAGACTAACAGTTGGCAGTAGAGGAACAAAAAATAAGCACTGATAGTGTCCCTTCCCCCCACTTGCACTCTTTTTGTCGCTAATGCTCTAATGCTCACTGGATGTTAGTGCTGACACATGACTTCACGTTAACTGTGAGTCACAAGTCCCTTGGTACAAAATAGATGTTCACTCCCCATCTTGGTGTCAATACTGCACTAAGTTGTATGGCTGTTTCTAGTGATGGGTTTGGTGTTTCTCAGATGTTCTCTGTATCTTACTCTGTGCAAGGGGCACGAGAGATGAGAGACGCAGGAGCGGTGGTCTTGCGGGTGTACTGTAGCAAGCCAAAAGGGGTGAGTGAATATTTGAGAATAAGTTATTTTTTGTCATGTGGGTGGCAGTGTAGCCTATTGTGGTTTCTCGTGGAGTCCACCGAGCCTTGAGTTGTAGAGGAGATGGTTCTTACAAGCCTGGGCAAAAAGGAAGAGGATCAGAGCATCTTCACCAGACTTGGAGGAGTCTCCCACAGAGGGAAGCGAGGTGGTCCAAAAATCCTTCATTTATTTTCACTACCTTGAGAATTATCTTTGATGAGCATAGATAACAACCAGGATCAAGTATCCTCCCTAAGTGTCATCTCCTCTTGCCTTGTCTGGTAACAGGATGTTAGTCTGGATCTAACCCAGCAGGGCATTTCTGATGTTCTTATTAGGGGGATAAACACACTGTATAGGGGCAGACAGGAGACAGAGAGGAAAATTCTAAATAATCTTCAGACCAAAAAGAGTGATTTTTATACATAGTTGCCTTGTAAGATCAGGCTAGGTTCGAAATTTTTTTCTTTGCTTGTGTATTTGAACTACCATGGATATTATGTGACCCATTTTCTTCTCCTGCTTTATTTGCATGAGTTCTTTGAATTGTCTTTGCAAGTTGAGTCACACAAAATCTGTGGTACTGTGTAATCCAGTTATTAAAACTTAAATAATCTTTACGTCCTGAAAAATACAAAAGACATAGTAGAGGTTATCTCTGTCTATTGTCATCCTGGTGGACTCTTCAGAGGCTGAGACCAAAAGCCTAAACAGGGATGTAATCAGACAGTGCTGCCTGCATCTTAGGGGGGGTGAGCAATTCTTTTAGTTTAGTTTAGTTTTTCAGAGCAAAACTACACAAAATTGTATTGTAAGCTCTTAATGCAGATCGAGAGCAGCCCTGCCCAGAGGGACCTGGGGGTGCTGGGGGAGGAAAAGCTGGACATGAGCCGGCCATGCGCGCTGGCAGCCCAGAAGCCAACCCTGTCCTGGGCTGCATCCCCAGCAGCGTGGCCAGCAGCAAGGGAGGGGATTCTGTCCCTCTGCTCTGCTCTGGTGAGACCCCCCTGGAGCCGTGCGTCCAGCTTGGGGGTCCCCAGCACAAGAAGGATGTGGACCTGTTGGAGCAGGGCCAGAGGAGGCCACAGAAATGATCCGAGGGCTGGAGCCCCTCTGCTGTGGGGCCAGGCTGAGAGAGCTGGGGTTGCTCAGCCTGGAGAAGAGGAGGCTGCGGGCAGAGCTGATTGCGGCTGTTCAGTGCTTAAAGGGGGCCCAGAGGAAAGGTGGGGACAGACTTTTTAGTAGGGGCAGCTCTGACAGGACAAGGGGTGATAGTTTTAAACTAAACCAGGTTAGGTTTAGCCTGAATATGAGGAAGAAATCCTTTACAGTGAGCATGGTGAAACAGTGGCACGGGTTGCCCAGGGAGGTGGTGGAGGCCCCATCCCTGGGAACATTCAAGGCCAGGTTGGATGGGGCTGTGAGCAACCTGATCTGGTTAAAGGTGTCCCTGCTCCCTGCAGGGGGTTGGACTAGATGACCTCTAAAGGTCCCTTCCAACCCAAAACATTCTATGATTCTATGAATGTTAGTGCCACTGTTGATACCCACTGCAACCAGAAGGATCACGAGTGGCACCTTATGGTCTTACCGAATGGTCTACATACCTGATACAGTCTGATCTGGACTCTGTGCCTCAAGCCCAGTACTTCTGGGTGAACAAGGGCATTGTTCCCCACTTACAGCTGTTGTCTGCAAGTGGCCCTCCAGGACAAGTAATCCATAATGGCTTCTTCCTCCCTCCTTCTTCCACTCTTCTTCATCAGGTCACACTGCAGGGGAGCAACCATGATGTACAGCTTCCTATGTCAGAAGAATAACCTGTGTTGTCTGTCTAGCTGAAAGGGTGGACATGGAATATGCATCTGAAAAAGCATTCTGTGCATGTGAGGGAACTCATCCTTAGATTGAGTCAGTAGCTTATCTAAGCTAGTGTCTTACCTAGGGTGTTAGTCTGCCTTCGCTGCCTAGCCATTTTACCTGACATGTTTGGCTGCTGCACTAAGCAGCCTTGTGCTGCCAGGAGTGTGTTTTGAAGTGTACTTACGAGATGTAACTATGTTATTCATTGAAAGTTTTCAAAATCTTTTGGTATGGAACTGGATACCTTAGCATATTTTTATTGACCAAAAAAAATATTTTTTTTTTAAATTTCACTTAAGAACAGTGTTTTTTTTCCTGGCAGTGTCCTTTCATTTTCTTTTTCTCTCTAGCATAAATAAAGGATTTCAGTATTTTAGAGCTGAAAAAATGTGTAAACTTAGCATCGCCATGCACAGGGGCAATCCTTGGTTTTGGATTTAGAGTAAATAGTGACAGAAAGAGAATCATTGCATGTTTGTTGTAACAAGCTTGTGGAGGAATTTTGGCTGAGCAAACCTTGCCTATCAATTTAATTATTTTTGTGGTGGTGCCCACTCTTCTACGTCTGTCAGTGCTCAGGGCATAGGCACATTTCAGACTTGCGTAGAGAAGCTGTCCTTGGGTTTCAAAAGCAATCTGGTTACAGAACTCCACACAGATAAGGTTCACGACAGGAGATTTTTCTGTAGGGATGGGAGTGGGTGAATGCATAGATTACAATCTTTGGTGAGTATAGGGCTTACATTTGTTGGAGGTGGTTTTTTTCTGTCCAGGGTTAAGACCTCACCTAGGCTTATGTCTGCCGTCTACCTGATTTACAGGAATCTGAATCTGAAGTTCCTGCTGCTCAGGAGGGACATTCTGAGGTTATACTATTCGAGGGAGAGAGGGATCTCCTGTTAAAATCCTGATTTGCTTAAAATACTTTCACATTCTTTAGAGCACAGAGTAATATTAAGGGTTGAGGTTAACCCTAAGTTGAGAGTTTAACAGCAAACTATGTAGTTAACCTTGTTTAGCCTGTCTGATTCAGTGTGTGTTTTGCATTTAAACAAACCAAAACAACTTTGGCAGAATTTCACTCCATTATTGTATTGCTAGTTCGGTTCCTTGAGAGCTGACAGGCTCTGTTCCAAAACAAGCACAGGAGGGACGGGAGCGTGTCTGTATCATCGTGAGTGTTCTCACCACTGGGCCGCTGGGCGTAAATGGAGGACACAACTATTTCCATGCTGCCTTTGTGAGTCTAGTTACAGATCTAGTTTAAGAAATTCAAACAATTTACCTAAAAAATGTAGAAACATGCAGTGCCCACAGTTCCACTCAAACATATAGATGCAGGATGCTGGCACCTGAGTTCATAAATTTCAGTTGATCAGAACTGTACTTTTAGCAAAAAAATTGTCCAGACCTACTTAGAGATTGTACCTTCAGCTTAAGGCTTTTTGCAAGTTTAAAACTCTCTGGAAAATGTATAGCAGAACTAGAGTTTATAAATTCAGTACTGTTTTTAAATATTAAAATGTTAATTTATTAATCGCTAAACATGTTAATATTTAAGAATCTCAGAAAACAGCCTTTTGAGATTTACAAAGGAGCATTGAGATGCTTTTTGCTGATATTCTACATGTCTTTTTCTTTTTGAACTGCTTGGCTTGATCCAGATGAGTTCGTTTAAAAGAGTGGAATGTTGTATAATGCTTGTATTAAACTGTAAGTTAAGAAATATGCGAATAAATGGAAATCAAGGTTGTCAGAAAGCAGGTATTCCTTTATTGTAAATATCCATTAAGTAGAGTAACCTCCGCCTGTGATTCATTTTGTGCGTAGGGACCAGCAAGGCTATATTCTGCTGTGTGCAAATGCATCTCCTTTTAAAGTCTCTGTATTTACAATAGCTCCATGTTACTTTTGTCATCTCCTACTTTTTAAAGCTAACACCAAAAATATATTCAAATGAACCAAAGTTAGTGTTGTATTTACAGAAGACTGAAATTAATTGATAATTTCAAATGATTGTGTTCCAGAGGGAGACTATAGCTGTAAACATAAAAAACATCGTAGAGTATATTAGTCACTGTTTCCTGTCTTCTACAGATCTCCTGTTCTTCGAGTCCAACTGTAACATCAAGTTCTGGTAGCAGTAGTTCTTTATCGCCCCTTGGACCTCTTTATAGACAGAGATCATTAGCAAATGGCGTTTTATGTTCTGAGTCTAGCACATCAGCTGTTTCTTCACCAACATCTAGCTATCCAAAAGCACCGGGCTTCGAACGAGAGGATCAGGTATGTGAATAATATGGTCTAGAAGTACAAATGCAATCTTAAGTTACATTAGGTTCAGGAGAAAATGTTGTCTGCCTCTTGTATCGGCACTGAGTTTTGATAATTTAGAACATGGAGTTTGGAACCTCTTCTTTAGGGAGCTAAACTGCATCAAGTTGCTTTACTGTTGTCACAGGCCCAGGAGCCTCAGGTAGTCCCTGCAGCGCAGCTGACACGCGGTAAACTCTAACTTTGCAGAAATGTGATTGTCATTTTGAGCCTGTGTTGCCAAGAACAGAGGAAGATAACAATGGGAAAAAATCATAACTAGGCTTGGTAAGATTCAGTTTTAACTACCGTTGAAAATTGATGGTGAAAGATGCATTCATTTCTGGCTGTTGATGCTATCTCTGAGTTCCAACCTTTGATGAATTTCAGTCTGTTTCTTCTCCCACTGGCAGCTGCTGCCTCTCTCCTTGGACAAGTTCATTGCTGAGACAGACATAGATGATAAAATACACAAGCCTCTGGAAGAGAGAGAGATCTGTAGCATTAGCAACAAGAGGCGAGTGCTTGATATTGAAGTTGGTGAGGAGTTAGAATCCTTTAGTCCGGGGGTCGGAGAAACCAGGCAATGCTAGAGACAGAAAGGAAGACTGGTGTTCTTCAGGGGTATGGAACAGCTCTGTTGGCCTGCAAGAAAAAAGCTGAAAGCTCAGGATTTACCTGTTAAAGCTACATTTTTCTCGCTCTGTTGTAATGCGGGTCACACTTCTAAATGGTCAGAAAGGAACTGTTGATGGCACGTTTAAATAAGCTGCAGCCAAGCTGAGCAGCCTTCTTGCAGATCTGTGGCTTGTCAGGATTGATTTCTGTAACCTGAGATGCACAGAGGAGTGCAGAAGTGAAAGGCGGAAAAAACATGAAAGGAAGGCAAGTGGTTTTTTGTAAATGGTAACTTGTTGTAGGGGATGGCAAGATCATTACTCTCAAGTTCTCCAGGCAGGATTGCTTTCTTACATGTAGATGTTCAGGCAGACTACAGATTAGTGAGCGGGTCACTGTGACAGGGAAGATTTCCATCTCCCAATATAGGGATCAGGTGATCATTGATCAAACGTCCTGGAAGCAAGGCAGTTTGGGTATCAAACGGCTGCTTTCTGGACATCAGGCAGCAGTAATTGAGACATTACATAACCATTGGTGAAGATGCATTTTGCTGGTTTGGTCACAATTGGTAATGTACTGCCACAAAGAATGTGTCTCAGCAGCAAAAACGTTACGTTCTTGCCTTTTGGTGGCCACATTGAACCTGTCTAGAGAGAAAGCAATTTGCAAACTTTACAATTGATAAAAAAATACCTAGAGTAGTGGGAGGCATATGAAGAGGAGGAGAGTTGTTACTCCTGGGGAGCTTTCACTGCAAGACCGATTAGGAATTCCTTTCCCAAAGGAAACAAGGAGCAGACACAAGGCTGCTCAAAGGCAGCAGAAGGAACCATTTTTCCTAAGGAGGCAGAGAGCACCCTGCAGAGTTTACTGCAGTTCAGGAAGTCACTGAAAGTTACTGGCCTGAAAAGAGCAGAGATCCTTTGATCCTGCTGTGCAAGAACGCAGTGGGCAAACAGACTTTGCTTAGAATTCCCTTTTATTTAAGTATGTGTCACTTCTTTCAAAAGTTACCGTATTGTAAAAAGGTGTTCAAAGAAAATCTGCCCTTATATTTGAATATTTTGTTGCTGTTGTTATTTGTAGCATGATCACTTTAAGGGAAAATCTAGGCAGTTCCAGTCAAACTTGTGGCTACCTCAGGCTTCTGTCCCACCAGCCTCTTGGAGAAGTATTCCCCAGCTGGTGAGCATCTGGGACATGTTTTTTCTGTCACAGCATAATGCTATCATGGCTACTCAATTTTTGGACCAGAAATAACTTGCATGTGCTCAGCTATGCACATAAGTGGAACAGGTGCAACTGCTTTTCCTTTTCCATGTAGATTTACTCTGCGATGATTAAAATGTAATTCTCCATATGGGACTGCAGTGAGGGAAATGAAGCCAGCCTGTTGAAGATATCATTGCAGAGATGCCACTGACCCTTCATAAACTAATAATGTATTTTACAGCAATGACTCATTAAGTTCGTATATTACAGAGATTTTTCCTCTTTCAGGCAAAGCATCGAACCTTCCCAGCTGAGAATCAGCAGAAAATAAATGAACAAGACAGCAAGCAGGTACTGCCAAAAGTTGAACACTGTAAATATTTTGCCCTTTTTGATAATTTATTAATGCAGTATCAAAGTTCTGTGGCTCTTTACAACATAGTCTAAGGAAAATTTGTGCCCAGTGACAGGACAAGAGGCAATGGGCACAAACTGAAACACAGGAGGTTCCATCTAAATGTACTTTTTTACTGTGCATGTGAGACTGAGCATTGGAACAGGTTGCCCGGAGAGACTGTGGAGTCTCCCTCCTTCCAGTTATGCAAAAGCTGCCTGGACATGGTCCTGGGTGGCTGGCTCTAGGATCTGTGAAATTGTACAATTGATGTGTGCTGCAGGGAGTACCAGGGGTGAGAAGAATATGAGGCAATTTGAGGATGCTTTTGATTATAGCAAGTCCATGGCAGAGTTTTCACAGTGAAATTTTGGATTAACTTGATTTGGGGATGGATTGATAGAATTTAAGGAAGGCCAGAAGAAAGATGATGATACAGTTGTTCAAGCATCAGATGCTCAAAACTAGAAAAATAGTTAAAGTGACAGGGACAGGGGGCACAGTGTTGACCTGTTGTGAAGCTAAATCCGTCAAGTGTTAGACACCGTTCTGTATGCACAAAGGAGCTTAAAACTCTGCCAGCTTTGCACTGCTGGAACAAGAACTCTGATGCTTTGTTTGTTATTTGTTGACAATGATCAAGATAACTGAGAACAGGAGTTGTACCATTTGCCATCCATGCAGCCACACAGGAGTGCAGAGTCTAAAGTGGAGGATTAAAACATATTTTACATTTAAAAAGCAGAAGGAGGGGTGCAGAATAAATAAGGAGAGAAAATACAAGATAGAGGTGGATCCTATGAGTTCTGTGTAGAAGAGTGATAGCACATGAACCAGTTTAAAAGTACACATTGGGGGTCTTCTCCTCCACGTCTATACATCAGTGAGAGTGGCAGCCTTGGAAACTTTTGAATTTTTTGTGATTTACCCTAAAAAGTCATTTTTACATTACTTTCTACCGCTATTAATATTTGTAACAGAATAAATAGAACATACCCAGTTTAACATCTTTATCAACAACCTGGTGGGGGAATCAAGTTTGTAGATGACATGGAATTGGCAGGACCAGTCAACACAGCTGGACTGCCATTCAGAGGGACGGAGACAGAACTAGAGGAATAGGCCAACAAGATCTTTTGAAATTCATTAAGGACAAGTGCAAAATCCTGCACCTGAGAAGCAAGAACCTGTTGCAACAATATAGGTTGAGAACAAAAACTAACTGGGAGGCAGCTCTGCAGAAAAGGACCTGAGGGTCTTTGTAGACAGCAAGCTGAACGTGAGCTAAGAGTGTGCTCTGGCAGCAAAAGAAGGCCCAACATTATCCCCAGTTGTATTAACAGGAGCGTGAAGTAAATCAACGGAAGGGGTTACCCTTCTGCTTAGCACTTGCTTGACCACATCTAGAATGCTGCATCTGGTTTGGGGCTCACAGTACTGGCATTGCATCAGTAAACTGGTGCAAGCTTAGCACATGGCTGCCAAGACGGTCAGGGGACTGGAGCACTTTCCCTGGGAGGAGATGCTGAGGAAGCAGAGCTTGTGTAGCCTGGAGAAAAAAGGTGGCTTCAGGAGGACCTAGTAGCAGCCTTCCAATACCTATGAGGAGGTCGTCAAGAAGATGGAGCCAGCCTGTTCTCAGTGGCGCACAGTGGGTGAACAAGAGACAACAGGCATAAGTTGAAACAAGAAGCTGAGACTGGGTATAAGGAAAAACTTTTTCACCATGGTGAGAATCAAGCAGTGGTTGCTGAGCATGGTTGTGCAGTCTCCAATCCTGGAGATTTTCAAGACCAGGCTGGCTAAAACACCAAGTAACCTGATCTGACTTTGTGGCTGACCTAGCTCTGACCAGGAGGTTGGACTAGATGACCTCCTGAAGTTCCTTCCAACCTGATTTTTCTGTTATCCGGTGATCCTAAGAATACTTAGCAAGTTGCTTTAGTTCTCTTCTTTCTGAAAAAATAAGTGTTATTTGATCTCAACTTTGATAGTGCAGAATGTATGAAATTCTGCTATGTAATTATAAAGCTGTTGACATCTTTTTTTAATAACCTTTCTATCCTGTCTGGTTTATGTTTATTTTTTCTCTCTGTTCTGTTTAGATATCCCACAGAACAGAGTTTTGATGTCACAAATAGGGTCAGTCTTGGTCTGTCAAAACAGAAGGAGGAAAGGAATCTCTGAGTAGCACTGCTGCATCTGTCTGTAGGTATAGGGTGGGGCAAGAAGCTTGCTGTTTGTAAATATGTTAGGGAGGAATAAGGGACTAAATAGCCCTGTAGATGTAGTTGTTTATGCCAGGGAGAAAGAGAACTAACTGAAGGAATCCATCAGCTTTGTGTGGGTGTGTGAAATTTCTTCACTTCCCTCTCACCGAGAGGCCTCAGCTTAAGATGGGGCAGGCCAAAGGGGATCTATTTTGAGCCTGATAATTTTTCAATAATATGAAAAGCCTGTATTGCCTCCCCTACTTGTAGTGACTTGGATATCATGTTTCTCCAATGACAGGGATCATGATCAGGCTTGTAACCTAAGAATTCTGTGCCTTGTCATTTCTTCATTTTACTTTTTTAACTATACCGCTGTTCTTCATGGTTTAATATGTACTGACAGTTCAGAGATTACTTTCTTTTTTGGCTCAGACATTTATGAAAACAGAAAGCAGCAAAGAAATACTCCATTTAAGATGTTGCACTGGGATATTAGAGAATGTGTTGTGAATTCAGTGTAAATTACAAAGTTGGAACAAAGTTTGGAAAAGCATATCATAGAATCATAGAACAGTTGACCTTGGAAGGGATCTCTGTTGAAGTTCAACAAGTCTGAGCACGAGGTCCCACACCAGAGTCAGGAGAGTCCCCAGTGTCAGTACAGAGTGGGTGATGAATGGGTGAAGAGCAGTGCTGCAGAGGAGGACATGGCGACACTGGTGGGTGATAAGTTGTGTATGGGCCAGCAATGTACACTTGCAGCCCAGAAAGCCAATTATCTGGAGCTGCATCCCCAGCAGCGTGGCCAGCGTCGAGCGAAGTGATTCTGTCCCTCTGGTCCACTCTGGTGAGATCCCACCCAGAGCCTCACATCCAGCTCGGGGGTTCCCAGGATGAGAAGGATGTGGACCTGTTGGAGTGGGTCCAGAGGAGGGACACTAAAGTGATCAGAGAGGGCTGGAACCCCTCTGCTATGAAGAAAGGCTGAGAGAGTTGGGGTGGTTTGGCCTGCAGAAGAGAAGGCTGCAGGGAGATGTTATTGCAGCCTTCCAGTGCTTAAAACAGGGTTAAAAGAAAGATGGAGAAAGACTTTTTAGCAGCGCCCATAGTAACAGGACAAGGGGGAATGTTTTTAAAATGAAAGAGGGTAGATTTAGATTGGATATAATGATGAAATGGTTCACTCTGAAGGTGGTGTGACACTGGGACAGGTTGCGCAGAGAAGCTGTGGATACCCCATCCCTGGAAACGTTCATGGTTGGGTTGGGTGGGGCTTTGAGTATCATTTCAAACATGTCATCTAGTGGAAGATGTCCCTGCCCATGGCAGAGGGGTGGGACCAGATGATCTTTAAAGGTCCCTTCCAACACAAACCATTTGGTGAGTCCCTGGAGGTCTGTAGTCCATCTGTCCCCTGGTCAAAGTGAGGTCAGCTAGAGCAGGTTGCTCAGTGCCTTGTCTAGTAGTGTTTTGAATATCTCCAAAAATGAAGACTCCACAGCCTCTTTGGGCAGCATGTTCCAGTGTTCAGCCACCATCGCAGTAAAAAATTCGTGTCTAAGTGAAACTTTCTGTATTTCAATTTGTGCCCATTTTTAAAGAAAAAATTGCTAATTGTCATGGTCACTATAGGCCTCAATCTTGCACTACACCTAGCTTTGAAATAGAAACTTTATGTGGTATTGGTAGAAATCAGGAGAGTAGGTACTGTGCAACCACTGCTCGTCACACAGAAGGTGCTTCGAGGATGTGTGGATTGATTCAGTCACAGTTCAATGCTGGTTTTATTAACTAAAAGATTGGAGGGAATAAATAAACAGTAAAAGGAGTTAATATACTGGAAACTCTGCACCAAATCCCTGTAGACTTTGTGAAGTTATTTTTCAGTTTAGAACGTTGCATGGTTACATTTTGTTTGTGTTTCTTACATTTTGTAATGTAAACGTGTGATTTGAATGAAGAAAGAAGTTCAGTTGGAAAGAAGTAGCACAGGTACAGTCATTGCACAGCATGACACACGAGTGCAGTGCAGTCACGTTTCTCAGCTCTCTAAACCAAAGAACAGGTTGTGCACCAATTGCATTTAGATTAAATGAGAAAATTTGCAGATAAAACACAGGATAGCATTTGCTTAGGAATGCATAATGAAATGGTACAATTCCTCAATAGATATTTTGCTTTTGAAAAGGAGCATCAGACTTCAGCTAATTACGTGTGTCGAGCTTATTTGCAAGTATTTAAATACCTGTTTTCTGAAAGCAGAATTCCCTCGTTTGGTAGTGAAGTGGGGCCACACTGGAGAAGTGCACTTGCTGGTAAATGATAAGGAAAATTATCCTAATCTATTAATTCAGAGGCTCTTCTGCATTTTTTTTCTGTTTGAATTAAAAACTGCTTTTAAAAATACATCCTGTTTATTTTATATGTTTGTATTTACATCTGTGTGTTGGTGTGTGTATACCGATGTTGTCTGGGTTTTTTTAACAGGACCATCTCAGTGTTTTTTCAGCAGTCAATCCACTTACTTCAAGTATAACTTCCAGTCTGGCCTCCAGCGTTGGGTCAGACAATTCACCCCCTGCAGCCGTCTCTGCTGTCAGTGCCAGAGCTCCTCCATTCTATTCCGGCAGTGACACCGTTGAATCGGTTATAGGTCAGTCTTAATTAACGCTTAATCTTTGTACATGTTTTGTTGCATTATTCAAGTTCTTCTTGTTTCAGCGTAGGTTCAAAGATCTTATTGGTAAAGACCAAGGTGATGTTGCACACACCTGCTTTATTATATGTAATTAAAAGCAATATCTGAAATTTCATTTAAGTGTTTTCACCCCAAATCATTATTTTTCACAAGGTCTCCAATGTGAGTGTAGGAATGAGTGAATGGGACATAAAAACTGGAATTTTGGTATTGGTATTGGCCAGTGATTTAAAAAAAATGTGTAAAACCTTTGTAATGCAACTCACTGTATGGATGGAAGTGGCAGTGCTGTCTCTTCCACTTCTGTGGCTGGGCTGATGAGAGTTGACTTTTTTTTTTTAATGTTACTGTAACAGGTGCAGTTACAGATCTTACCACGTTCACAGGAAAATGGGGGATTTTTCTTTGGCTGACTGCATATTCTCCAGTCTGGTGATTTGTATGTTCAAGGACAAAATCTTTTGTTTACACTGTGCGGACCAGATCTGGAAGGGCACAAAGAGGGGAGGAGCCCTCGCTTTCTGGGTGTGCAAGACAGATTCTGGGAAATACTCACTTCCAGAACTTCTGTCATTAGCCCAGAGCCTTTCCCCTGCTTCCAACCAGCTAGGCTGTTTGTGTGGAAAATGGTAAAAGGAGATAAATATTTCAGTAATAATTAGAACTTCAAAACTGGTCACAGTACACCTGCTGTGGTCTCGCAGGTGCTGGACAGAGAGGAGTAACCACTTCCCCAGCCTGCTGGCTGCACTTCTGCTGGTGCAGACCCACATGCTGTTAGCTTTTATTGCCGCCGAGCACACTGGACACGTTGTTCATCACAGTTCCCAGATCTTTTCTGCAGTGTTGCTTTCTGACCGTTCCGCCCCTGGCCTGGACTGTTGCGAGGGGTTGTTCTGCACCAGGTTCAGCGTTATTGTATTTGCCTGTGCTGAACTTTGTGAGGTTTCCGTCAGTCCTGTTCTCCAGCCGTTTGGGATCCTGCCCATGAGTGTGTCAGCTGCTCCCCTTAACTTAGCGTTACCCACAAACTCACTGACATGTGCGGCACTTTTACCCCAGCAGCGGTTTATTCAGGAGGCTGTGGCAGGGAGTGCTGTGACTTGCAAGATGCTGTGTTTCGCATTCCGTGCCGTAAGTCAGGTGATGGGGGAGCTGCTGTGATTAGCTGGCGTGCTGGAGGCTTTCTGTGTTTAAATCAATGTGTAGCAGCGACCGGGAGACTGCAGGCAGTGAGTCAGCACTTCAGCGGGGTAAGTTAGGCATTCACTCTTTTAATTTTTTTAGGAAAGAAACCTAAGCAGAATATTAAACGGTGGATCTTTTTCTGCAGTCTCATAGCTGGCTTTCCTTAAAGGTTTGTCTGATGATCTCTGTGTTAGAACAGGAAATAAATTTTAAATAATTTTTAAATTTCAGAATTAGAATGAGTAGAATTTTAGGGTTTTTTCTATGCAAGTAATATAATTTCATCGGTTTATGGTTAATATTTTAAGATACACTAGGGAATGAAATCACATTTTTGTCAACATAAACATTGCTTCTGGAATAAGTGGAGGCTGGTTGGCTTTAACAAGTTACTCATATAACAGTAAAAACCACGGGCTCTTTTCTGTATACTAGATCAGGTGCTAATTCAGTATGATCTTTAAATGGTGATATACTGAGCAAGTGTTGCAAAGTCACTCAAACGGTGATGCTGTTTCCCATGCCCTAGCGTGATTATATTATTGAGCATAAGAGGCTCTTGATTCCTGAGTTAGAATATGCTTCTGCTATCTACAGATGGTTTTCCAGAACAGTTTTCAGCATGCTATGTTTGTTAGCAGAATATGAATCACAAAATACATGTCTCGTGTATATATAAGTTAGTGTACTTTATGGTAACTGCATAGATTTTGGGTTTTTTCCTTAAAAGAATCTCATATACATATAAATTCTTTTTCCAGAGTTCTGCTTCATAGATGCACAGGATGGCATTGAAAATGAAGTGCCGCATGTAATCTGAGTAGAGCAGAAAATTAAGACGTTATTGTAGAGCAGAAAATAAATACCTGGTGTTCTTGTAGGAAGTGGTGGATTGAGGAATCATAAAAAAGGGGGTGGAAAAAGAGCTGCAGCAAGGGGAAGGGCTAGGTGATTATGGAGATGGGATGAATGGATTTAGATAAAGGATTAGGGGAAATACAGGCGAGTTACGTTGGCAAGGACCAAGGAAGCTTTGTCAGACAGTGGGGGTTGTGGCCCTTTCTGCGGCCCTTGATCTTGATCTCGCGTAACAGTCCCCAAGAGCCGGGGAGGAGGCAGGTGCAGGGGGGTTAGGATAAGCATACCAACCAGATTGAGCTGGTACTTAGCACTGAGGCTTGTACAATGTGTTGGAAACTGAGGGAAGATGGAGTGAAAGAAGGTATATTGCTGCAGTCTACTCCTGCCAGAGCCAAGGGAGGTCGGTTGAGTTGTCTGGTTTTGTTCTGGTAAAAAAAAGAAAGAAGCATAATCTGAGAACATAAAAGCTGCAGGGTGTTTGAAGTCTTCCTGAAAATGTAAAAAAAAAAATAAAATTATGAGAATAGAGAAATTAGATAAGTGAAGTGTCAGAAGAGACAGATTTGGAGAGGAATAAACAGGGAAAGGACAGCAGTGAAGGGAAGCGACTCAAGTGGTAGCGGGGAGAAGGTGGGACCTTAACATTAGGGGGCGTCTGCCAGCCTGATGCTCCCTCCCTGCTGTCTGCTGGGGCCTGGGTGGGCTTCTCCCTGGGCGGGTTTTGGTGGTTTCCATCACTTTCTATCGGATACTCAGGCATGGGGATCGTGCCTGTCTGGGAGACTTGCCATCCGAGGAAAGCAGTGTCTCTCCGTTTGCTTCCCATGTATGTTGTGATCTTAGGATGCTGCTGGTGTTCTCTCCCTGCACTCCACTGACTTTCCACCACATCAGATGGAATCTGAAAGAGCTGGAAGGTATCAGAAATTAAGCTTTGAAAGTCTAGATAATAAGCAGTAAGGAGAGCTATCTGTCCTTTCTGTGACAGGGGAGGATGAGTGTGGCAGAATGAGCTGGAGCCTCACGAGGCGAACGTGACAGGTCAGTGATTTAGCAGGGGTGCAGGCTTAGATTTGATCTCCTATTTGAGCAGTACGACTGATGTCAGCCTCGCTGTGTTTTGTTCCTGCTTGTCACACTTGGGCAGCAACATACTGAGCCAGACACTGCAAATAGCTTCGGATATTAATAACATCTGGGTGATGTGGGGAATTGCAGAGCTTGAAAAAAACAGTTTGCTTCCCCGTTTAAAGATAATGACGGTGCTAATGATGGGATTTTAAAGCCTCTCTTTTCATGATTGAGAGAATTTGAATTTTCTGAAAGAAAGTGGAACAGCTTCTCTTGGTGAAAGTGAGAGGGATCTCTCCCAGAATATCCTGCAGTGTAGTGATGAGAGGTTTGCTCTCACAGGGGTATGGCATTTGGGCACAGAGGATGCTGAGACAAGTTCACATGTGTGAAGATTTATTAGCGGGTTGCATAGCTGATGGCAAATAATGGTGACAATCTGTCCCAGCGGCTGGGTGGAAAAAGAAGTGACAGGCAGGGCAGATGAGCATCCTCTCCAGTGCAGCGGCTGATTCTCTCCCACATAATACTTTTCCCGTATTAACTATAGTTTTTCATCAAGACTGTCCCAAACTCCTTATGGGATTTTCCTGCTTATGATGGAGCGCACTTTGGTCAGCGGATGGTGCTGCATGCGAATTGGTTGTTGAGCTGTGTCCAAAGATATTGCTGGGTCCCTCTAACATAAATCAAAAGCTACGACCAGGAGTAGGTGCAGAAGAGAAAGGACGCATGATTCGCACACCAGTGGCAGTTGCTTCCCCTGAGAACCCTCCACCAGTGCTCTGAGGGTTGGCAGGGCCAAGTGGTGAGCGGAGCAAGGAGACGTGCAGCCCCAGAGATGAGAAGGCACTACCAGAGCAGCTGGGTGAATAGGCGAGACAGGCAGGCTACCGTGTTGCAGATGAAAGGCCCTTACCTGTACGAAAGACAAAAGCAGGGAAGGGATAGTGCAGCAATGAGGATGCAAAACCCAGTATGGAAGAGGGACTTTTAATCTGGGTTTGACACAGCACTTGTGCCACAGTAAGCCTTGAGTCATCAAATAAAAGGAGGCCATCTCTCCCCTATATATGGAGGACTGGCTTAGGCATTTGTCTCCGAGGGAAGGTTATTGCTGGAAAACCTTGGAAAGCTAGGGCGTATCCCTTCAGGCCAAAATGGTGATGCAGAGAGGGCTTCCTCCCTCTGACTGTGGGATGCCAAGCTGCTTTGGCAGTGCTGCTGAAAGATAAGGATTATTGTTCAGGCACAACAACCCCATGCTAATAAAGCTGTGTTGCTTTTGAGACCCAGACTAGTGGCTCTTCACAAAGGGCTATGTTAGCTCTCGGGTACCTTTGCCATGAGCATCACTGTGCACTATGTGAACTTCATCTCTTGGCTGGTATTTTAATCTGGACAGCTTAGGCAGCTTCTTGCTTCAGTGCTGATCCACTGTTCTGTCATCCTGCTTCTAGGTCAGTACCTCCCTTTATGTTCTGTCCGGAGCTGTGGAGCCTGCTAGATAGCCTGGGCAACGTGAGAAAGTGCACTGGCCTTGTGTTAATGATCCAAATGGTCCCTGCAATGTCTGACTTCTAGCACTTTTACAGCTGTATAGTAATTCTGCCAAAGATTTTCTGCAGTTTACAGTGCCTAATGTTTAAGAGTAGGCTATGAGAGAGGAATCACTCTAATTCCAAAGGGATGAGATCCCCTTTGGACCTTCTGGAGACTTAAGCAAGCCAGTGTGACTTTTATTTCCATTTGTTCCTTTTCAACTCATTTAGGCTTTGTGTCAGTTTTTAATAATGATTTTCAACATCAAACCTAAACATTCATGACAAAGGCAG